CTGCTGCTGCTGCTGCTGCTGCTGCAGCACAGCCAGCAGCAGCAGCAGCAGCGCCGGGGGCGGGGAAGTCCCCCCGTCTGCAAGTGGCAGCAGCACCAGACCCCCCAGCAGCAAAAGCAGTCCTGGGGGCCCCCAAGGGGCCCCCCGGGCTCTTAGCAGTACCCCAGGGCCCCGTGTCAGTTGTTGCAGAAGCAGGAAGAATTGGGGGCCCCCGGGACCGGCGGGGGGCCCCCAAGGGTGCAGGGTCCCCTGACTCTGCGGGGGGCCCCCTGGGGGCCCCCCGGGCGGTGAGGGCCTCGGGGCCCCCCATAGCTGTACCCTTTTCAGGGGGGGGGGGCCCTTTCCTAATCTACCGCGGAATGAGGGGGGGCCCCCCCTCCCTCTCTTCTGTCCCCTTGCCCCCCATCCCCACGGATCCAGAGACACAAAGCCAAATTAAGAAGGTACGATTTCTCCCCTTTGTCTTTGGGGGCCCCCGGGGGGCCCCTGGAGGTCTTTGGGGGGCTTCTGGGGGCCCCGGGGGGCCCCTGGGGGCCTCCTGGGGTGCCCCCGCCTGCAGGGGGCCCCCACGGATGTTGGGGGCCCCCCAGCTGGGGGCCCCTCCGCCTTGGTGGGGGCCCCTTTGGGGGCCTCTCTCAGGGGCCCCCAATCACCAGCATACGCAGCTTTGGAAAGGGTTCATGCTCTCAGGGTTTTGAGTCTAGGGTCTAGGGTTTAGGGTTTAGAGTTTAGAGTTTCGGGTTTAGGGTTTCGGGTCTAGGGTTTAGGGTTTAGGGTTTCGTGTTCCGTGTTTGGTGTTTTTTTTCGTCTTTGTGGCTACTGGTGGTGTCCCAGGGAATCGAGAGGGCCTCTAGGGTTTAGGGTTTAGGGTTTAGGGTTTAGGGTTTGCGGCTGCAGGCTGTGGGGGAGCTGGGCGTCCTGCTGCTGCGGCAGCTGGTGCCCCAGGAGGCGCAGCGGGCCGTGGGGGCCCCCCCGCTGCTGCAGCTGCTGCGGGGGCCCCCCCACTGGGTACTGCTGAGTTTGCGGCAGCTGTTTTTGCGGCAATTTGGGGAAGTGTGCATGACGGAGATAAGTTTGCTGCAGCAGCTAGCTGACAGCAGCAGCACTTCCCCGCTGCTGCGGCTGCTGCTGGCTTTGCTGCTCGAAGAGCTGCCCCGCTGCAGCACAACTTACAAGTACAGGGCCCTGGGGGCCCTCGAGCCCACAGACCTTTTGTGTCTTCCGGGGGTTTTGTTGTACGACGGGGGCCCCTCTTGTCCTGCTGTTGCTGCTGCTGAGTTCCGGGTTCTTTGGGAGCGCCGCCACAGCAGCGCAGCAGCAGCAACTGCTGCTGCTGCTGCTGCGGCGGCGGCGGCACCC